CTTTCCTAAACTTTCTAGATGTCCAGAAATTTATGAGAACACTAAATTTGAAACGCTTCTTTTTGAACAACCCCATCAATAATTCCATTGCTAACAGTGCACAAGATAATCATTTCCTCCACACAGATCTTAAGCAAAAATCTAAATTCTGTCCCCCAAACCCACTGAGCGCACATATGAATGCGTTCAATATAGCAGTAATGGAGGATCTAGATAAAATTCCTGGGAAAATCCCAAATAGGCAGCATAATCTTACAGTAGAGGAGAGGAAAGCCTTAAAAGAGCTGAGGGATCATAAAGATCTAATAATTAAACCCGCGGATAAGGGTGGGGGAATTGTTCTGATGAGTGTGGACTATTATGAAAAAGAATGCCTTAGACTGTTAAGAGATGAACATACGTACAAATCACTTAATAGAGATCCTAGTATAGAATTCCAGAAATAATTAAGTTCACTTTTGGATATAGGTAAACAGGTGGGAATCTTAACTAAGAAAGAATATGATTTTGTTTTTAATTTACACCCCAGGAGGGCTGTTTTTTACTTTCTTCCAAAGATTCACAAACACATGATGGAACCACCAGGTAGACCGATTATTTCGGGGATTGGGTCTCTGACTTCAAATTTATCCCAATATATCGATATACTATTACAACCTTCAGTTAAAAATACAAAATCATATCTAAGGGATAGTAATGAACTACTTTGTCTATTAGAGGGCCTAGTCTGGAAAAAGACATATTGGCTAGTGACATGTGATGTCACATCACTTTATACAGTCATCCAACATGAATTAGGATTGAACGCCGTTAGAAATATTTTGTACAAAACCTCAGAATTACAGATGGAACAGATTGAATTTGTGGTGCAATGTATTAATTTTATCCTCACGCATAACTTTTTTTGGCATAATGATGAGGTTTTTTTACAAGTCACGGGGACTGCTATGGGGACCAGGTTCGCACCCAGTTACGCCAATATATTTATGACGCACTGGGAGGACTCATATGTATGGAGTGGTCATCCATGGGTTGCGAACCTGGTCCTATATAGAAGATATATTGACGACTGCTTTTTCATTTGGGAAGGGGAGGAAGCAGAACTCTCTATGTTTTTACAGCACATGAACAATAATATATATAACTTATCATTCACTTCTAAATATAGTTTAGACTATGTTGATTTTCTAGATTTGGTTCTTTATGTAGAAGAACAAAAACTGAAGTCTAAAACTTTTTTTAAAGTAGTTGATGTTAATAGTTTCATCTTAAGAACTAGCTGCCACCATCCACCGTGGCTGACAAATGTTCCATATGGACAGTTTCAGCGAGTAAAAAAGAACTGTACAGACCCTATAATATGCGAACAACAGCTAGAGAGAGTCAAAACTCAATTCTTAGAAAAAGCATATGAACCGGAATCTTTAGAGATGGCACTTAACAAAGTTAAGAATTTAGAAAGAAATACACTTCTAAATCCATCTAAGAAGGATAAGGGAATTCTACAGGATTTCAAATGTCCCATTATTTTCAATTATAGTAGCCATGCACAGTTTCTAAAAAGAAGTATTAGAAAGCATTGGCATCTTTTACAGAAAGACCAAACTCTAGCCACTTTTTTACCTCAACATCCAAGGATCATCTTTAGAGGTGCACCGACAATTAAGAACCAGTTGGTGCAAAGTTTTAGACAACCGAAACCTAAAACACATTTTTTGAATGTAGACAAGGGTTTCTTTAAATGTGGAAACTGTAGCATATGTAAAATCACAGGCCCTCCTTTTAGAGGGATTTCTAATTTTGAATCTTTGGTTACGAAGAAATCTTATAATATAAAGGAGTGTATTACGTGTCACTCCAAGCAAGTAATTTACCTGCTAGGTTGCCCGTGTGGACTACAATATGTAGGTCAGACAAAAAGAAAGTTGAAGATAAGACTTAATGAACATGTATATAATATAAAAAGAAAATTTGAAAAACATTCCGTATCTAAACACTTTATGGAACACCATGGAAGTGACCTTGGTTTTTTAAATTTCTGTGGAATAGAAAAGGTTAATGTTCCATGGAGAGGGGGAGAATTGGCGAAAAGATTAACCTACCAGGAAATGTCTTGGATTTTTGGTTTAAAAACCCTGGCTCCGCAGGGCATGAATGTAGATCTAGAACTTGCAAATATCTTATGAGCCAGCTCTATATACCTAGTTTTGAGTTTTTTCGATAAAGGGCTTGCTATACACTGTCATTTTTGTGAGAGTGTGTTTTTGGGCAGGGATTGCTTTTTGGTGACATATTGTGGATGACTTGGAGTGTTGGGTGTGAGGAGTCTGCTTCGGTCTATATTATGTATACCAATGTTAATTGGGGAACAATTCAAAACAAGTTCCTATATATGGTGCCTGAATTTGAATCTTTTAAACTTATGGCAAGCCATGGATAAATGTCCTTATGATAGTACAGTGTTTTTTTGGTTTAATAACATTGTTATTTTTTGGCTCAATGCCTATTTTTATGTGTTCTTTTTCTCTTTCTTCTAATTTTAAAAGGGTAATTGCCAATATGAGCTTTTGCCTTAATTTGCATATAGATTACATTATAGTATTTACTTTTTCACTACTACTGGATACATTTATCTGTGTTTTTATAATGAATGTGGATATTTTGTCTTAATTTGCTATATATGCCATTTGTGTTTTTGGGAAAACTCCTGACTGATATAATATCCACTTTCTCTATTTTATTTTATAATATACTTTATTCTTTTTCAGTTGCAGCAGCACAATTTTGTGTTTTAATTAATGTTGATTGTCAATTTGACACAATTATGTCTATTTTTATTTTTCTTGCTAGTAACTTTTATGTTATGAATTTTAGTATTGTTAAGAATACATGGACAAAAGAATGTCAGACTGTGTATAATTCCAAAGAGAAGATGTGTCCTGTATCCAATATGTTTTAGAATATATGACTATTTTTACTAATTTGGCAAGACTGTATTTAAAGACTGCCACTTACAGCCGTTACACTATCTTGAAAAAGCCTGAGAGAACAGGCGAAACGCGTTGAAGTGCCAACGGATGCAGAGGTTTTGATGATAACAGCCTGCTTTTGAACTTACCACACACAGACACAGTCAGCCTGTATGCTATACTCCACCCCCTCAGTGCTGAGATCGGGCGGGAGTTTTGAACCATCAGGACCAGTGGACGGTAAAGCAGCTATTCATACCTCTGATTCTGTGAAAACCTGATTGTGATATCTTGGAGACAAGTATCACTATTTGCTAATGTAAGAGTCCATATTTGGGGGAAAGGGGATCTCTTTTTATTATTAAAGCAGTTTTACACTATGCAAAGCCTTTTTTTTGTATCCTTTTAAGGTATAATCTACAAAAGTGCTTCAGTGTATCCACGGATGTTACCATTTCAACTGCAACAAAGGATTAACCCTTAAAAGACTCCAACCCAAAGAAACTTTTGGACTTTTTTTGCAAACTTTTAATATATATTTTAATATATATTTTTGTGTGTATAATCCAACTTACTGTGATATATAGGTGCTGTTTAGACATCATTTACCTATAGAGAGAAGTTGTTTATTTTTTCCACACATACATAGATTGCCTCAATAGAAGGCTTTTGCACATAGCGCTGGCACTTTGTTATTAAATGTTATTTCCGAAGAGTTATGAGTGGACTTGAAAAATACCTTGTTTGGCTGAAGAAGCTAATATATATAGTAGATGAATGTACATAGAATTTTACTTTTCCACTGTTTTGTGTCACTTTTGCTAATAAGCCAAGTTTTAAAGACCTTTTTTTCAAGTATTCTACACTCAACATGTGTGCTCTGCTGCTTTTTGATTTATCATAATTTTTTTACACATGGACACTTGATCAAAGGCTGGGACCAATGTTTTCTACCTAGTTCCATTACACAAAGAAAGTATTTGCTGTCTAAATTCATTTTTAGTTGCTTTTCATTGACACATCAAATGACCATACCCTTGATTTATGGCAACAGAGTTTATTCTCACTGATTCGTGGTGATGTTTCACCAAGGATAGAGTCAAATGCGTTATATCATTTGTGGGGTCCAGCGATGACTGTAGAACCATGAGCAAAATTCTGTTGGACACTGAATAGTGTGTGTTTATATTCATATTAGTGCAAGTGAGATCCCACATATGCTATCTTCTCACCATCTCTCAAGTAAGCAGCTAGAGTTTTTACAGCTTATTTTTACTATCAGATGTAATATAAAGTCACTGTTAATTTGCTATACGGATTATAGGTGAAATTTTTTATTAGTATAAGTTCTCTGTGTTTCTCTCCATGTCTTACAGTCAATAATTGAACGGTGAACATTGGAATACTTAAGTGGCATCACCTATAATCAGTACAAGGTAATTTTGATAGAGATCTAGTCCTAATAAACTCTCTAGTGAGTGAGTAGGATCCCTGCAATTTAATTTCATTATACATTTTAAAAAATCATATTACACTATATATCCTATATTTCTTGTTCCATGTACATATCCTGTAAAACCACTGTTTAAAGTGAAATGTTCAAATTAAAGAAGGGTAATGTGCATGTTACCACCATATGGAGTTCTGATATAAGCACTCACAATTTCTGTGTAATCTAGCACTTGATGAAACTACTACCCAACATATACCTGAGTTGTTTTCTGATTTTTTTTTAAAGATATTCAGTTGCCGCATCACAGCAAACTATTTTACTAGCAGATATTAATAGTGAACAAATTAAAATGCTTTACTACCTGAACACACATCAGCAGGCCAAGAAATTTAGACCAATATATTGTCTAAACTAACTCTGACATAAAACTATACTCAAAAATCATTGCTAACCCATTAACTACTATTTTTCCAAGTCCAAAACATTATGACCAAGTGGAGTTTATTAGGGCCATTAGGGTGCGGATGAAGCCAGGTTTCTCCTGAATACTCTAAACTAGTATAATCCAAACTCTGGCCCTCCAGATGTTGCTGAACTACAACTCCCATGACTATCTATTTAAGTCAAAGAATCATGGGAGTTGTAGTTAAGCAACATCTAGAGGGCAGGAGTTTGGATTATATAAGTCATATTCATGATACCCCCTGATTCGGTCTCTTGTGTGCACTCGATATGAAAAAGGCATTTGCTCATCTAAAATCGTCCTATACGCATTGAACTCTTCTCTTGTTTTCCTTATCCATTTAACCCCTTAAGGACACATGACACGTGTGACATGTCATAATTCCCTTTTATTCCAGAAGTTTGGTCCTTAAGGGGTTAACACTATGATTATGGCACTTTTTCTTAACCATCAGCCAGGGTGTTTAATGCAAGATTCACTTCACAACTATTTAAGTCTATTGTGATTATTGACTAGCCTTACAATTAATTTCTGGTTATAATATCTGCTTATAATATGCAGAATGCTTCTTACTTTCTCTCTCCAGTAAAAATATTTAAAACAAAACAAGCAACCTGAAGCTATGCATGAAGACCTCCAGCATCGGAATCCCAATCGGAAAGCATTGCCGCACATGCACATTAGGGGAGGGGCGTGGGCGGAGCCTGACCGAGGGACATCGGCGCTGGATTAAGGTGTCTGAAGAGGTTTTAGCCCCTTCAGCGACATGGGATGGGGGCGGGAGGGAGGGGGACACTCCAGGATTCTCTAGTGCCAGGAAAACGGGTTTATTTTTCTGGCACTAGAGAATCCCTTTAAATCCCCATTTAAATTTCTGTATGCCGCACTCACTTAGAGCGATGCATACAGGTCATCAGTCTGTGTGAGTCTACTAATACTGGTCCCAGGTGACAGGGGGCAGACCCAGGTTTCTTATAATACCTGGGGTTTCCCTCTTACCATATGGAAACAGTCCTTGCTGGTAAAATACTGCATGATGGAATTATTATGCCATGAGTCCTTAAGAGAAGGAAATCCATGATGGAATAATTCAGTCATGCGCTCTTAAGGGGTTAATAGTCTTTAAGGTGAATGCATACAAGAAGTTGATCCTCAAACACTTTGAATAACGATAAAGACACAAACAAGGACACACAGACAAATGATGCAGTTGCCTTTTTGAAAAATATTGGAAAGAGAATTAAATGAAAAGTCTGCAAGCAGCAAATTTGTAGATTTTGAATGTTAAGGCACTTATGTTTATGATTATCCAGATTTTCTATAAAATGAGAAGGAATTTTATGTTTTGATATAACAGAGCTAATTGCATTATTAGCTATTATCATTATGTTGAACATTATTCAGCTGTTTTCTATTCCAAGGCAAAGTTATATGAGGTCACATTGTAAATATCAGTTATCATTTGAGTTAGAAAATGAAAAGTAGAGAAATTGAGTCCGATAATAGCATCGTATACGTACTAGGGTTCCAAAATGTAAAGTGCATTTTTTGTTCCAAAATTTGCCTAATGCGGTTGCTATGCCAGCACTGTTCTAATTATTGCTATGGGCCTCTGCCAGTTAGATAGCAGCTGCTCAGCTATATCACAGCATATTAACATAGTAACATAGTAATTTGAAGACAGAAGGGACTCCTAGTCTGTCAAGTGTATACCTACCTCATTCCACATTTAGATAATGCACCATTTAGAATGCAATTCTAAAATCTATAAAATAATACTTCCAATTATATTTAATGTATATATATATATATATATATATATATATATATATATATAAAAAATATCCATAATGCGAGCTGTAGCATTAACAACCAATGCCTTGAGAACCCGATTTTAATCTAATGTTTGCCAATAGGATGAAGGAGTGCATTAAATAAGATGAACATAAAAACAGCAAACAAGAATCCAGGTGAACATTGAATGAATGTACTAGGGAACAGCAAAGAAGAGGTCAGAATAACATAAAATTATTTGATTTGATTTGATTTTTAACTGTGTTGAGCCAGTGAGATTTTTTTCTGGACTTATGGCAATCTTCAGTGGTGATTACGCTAGTAAAACATGGTCTGTTTATTTCCTTTTCCTAAAGAGTATGCTAAGGTAAGATAAATTAAAGACCTGACAACTTTCAACATGTTAATACTCATTAGTGATTGTCACTGAATTGGGAAAGTGCCATTTGCCCAACTTTTGACAATTTATTTCACATATGAAGTTAACACATGACCAAAACTTTTTTGATATGCAGCATGTTTGTGACCAAGACCTTTTTGGCCCTTTTGCAATGTGTTTATTGTATCACAACTCCCCCCTTTCTATTTAAGTGCACCCATACATATTATATTTAATTTTTAAAGGAGAAATATTTCTTTTGACACCCTATATGTATATATAATGCAATAATAAATAAGAATAAAATATTTCTAAAAAATAGAAATTAAAAAAGTAATACAGAGTAAGAGTAAAACAGAGTTTTACATTTAATAATTTCTACACATCAAGTGCAAACAAAGGAAATGAACTCAAATTATATTAAAGTGGCACTGTCACCCCAAACTTACCTTTTCCCAATCACTTTCTCTTCTCTTACCCTTTCCTACTCTGTATTTCTTTTTTAATTTTCCATCTATATCTAACTAAAAATATAAGACAAACTAGGGACTACTTTACCTTGTGTATTTATCCTACGCTTGATTTTCTTTGACAAGTGGCGCTTAAGTAAGCTCAACTTCCTGTGTCAAAGAAGGTTTTCCCACAATACTCACCCTCCTCCGTATTCTCTCGTTTTGTTTTGCCATTTCTGAATGAACTGTCATGCACACCATTGGCAGTGGAAGGGGTTAATTATACAAATAACCCCCCCCCTAGTGACTAGGAGCCTCAGGCCTCTAGTCACCACCCAAAAAACAAATACCCAACCTACCCCACTCACCCTAATAATGGTGAGGGGAGCAATAAACTAAATTCATGCTTACCATTAGATGTCTTCTACCATCTTTTTTTTTCAGCCCCACAAAAAGGTCAAATACAAATACATAAAGTCACGAACTTTTAAAATAAAAATAGACTCAATCGCCAATAAAAAACACTACAATTAGAGAACTCTGAAAGGTAATTCTTGAGGATGACAGGTAAGTCTCAAGATTTACCTGTCAGAGTACTCAGACTGGTTTTAACAGTTTGACGCAAAGTTAAGGACTTGGATATGGCTTTTTTGGGGCTGAAAAAATATGGTAAAAAAAAGACATCTAATACTAAGTATTCATTTATTTTTTCATGTATTTAGTTTATTGCCCCCTCACTATTATAAGAGTGAATGGACTAGGTAGAGTATTTGTATATTGGGCAGGTGTCTAGAGGGTGGGGGTCCTATAGTCACTGAGAAGGTGACTAGGGGCTTGGAGGCATAGTCACTGGGGTGGAATTATTTTTACAATTAGTCCCCACCCACCACCAATGGTTGGGGTTTGAGGGGATAATTGGTCCCCATAACTATCATTTAGGACCCCTAAACTTCCACTAAATGGTGGGGGTGTGGTGTACAATAATGTTTGGAAACTGGGGGGAGCATCCATTATCACTTTGGGCCCCCTGCCATTAATGGGTGGGCATTTTTGGGGACAATAGGTCGACTCTTATTATCAATTAGGGCTCCAACCTGCTGCTAGCAAGTGGGGTCTGGGTGGGAAAATATGCCCCACCATTATCACTTAGGGCCCCCACCTACAAGTAATGGGTTGGGGCTTAGGGGGACACTAGGTCCTCCATTTAGTTTAATGGTGTGCACCGGTTACACTCTCTTTTTTATTTTTTATTATTATACAAAAATTTCCATACAGTTAAAAAAAGTATAAAACTGGACAGAGATGTAGAGGAGATTGCACAAACTTATTAATTGCTCTCCAGGAAATTAAGTTATTATTGCTTTTCTTCTTAACCCTCTCCAAACCCCATCTACATTCCATTTTATAATGAATATGTTTTCTTCCCTTTTCTCTTCCTTCTCCTTTCCGTGTTCCCCTTTCCCTCTTGTCTCCCTCCCCTCTTTTCCTTCTAGTCACGGTATCTAAATGTTATTATTAATTTGTGGGGATGTTCATTACTATGATTTATTATAGGTAGTAATATGGGACATTGGGGAGGGGAAGAAGAATTACTTGTCTCTACAATATGCTACATATGCTACATAGCAGACTAAAGCAACCCCAATAAGAGGAGGAAAAAAAAAAGACCATTGTATCACTGTCCACTGACAAACAAAACACACACAAAAAATAAAAAAACACATACTGTGCCGAGAGATCCTAACAATAGGTATGTAATACTGATATGGTATAAAGTCTCTGCTTATTTCTTACTTTTATATCTTTTTTTAATCCCATTGATCTAAGCTTAAATTACGAAGGTTGTGCTATGCCAGTTTATACATCACTATTTTGCAGTAATTTAACTCTTGGTATTTAATCATCTCCCTCATAAGGATATCTGGAAGTTTTCAATATCTGTTCTTTATATGGTTTTAATGGATATAGAGATATGGGTCTTAATCATCTCTTCTCTCTCTTTCTCCTCTCCCATTCCCATCTTCCCTTTTCCCTTTCTCTTCTTCGATTATATCAAAATAGAGGTAGACAGAAATGCTTATCATCTCACCAACATATCAACATGGGTATACAATGGCTCAAGCACATACATATATAATCTTCTGTCCATATACTTAACTTCAAGGGTGCACTCTCTTTTTATCATCTTCCTATGGCACTGAAATTGAGCGAGGGTGTCTTTGATGCAGTTTCAGCAAACTAGATTTAATTTAGCCTTCAATATCCCTCGTATTTTTTAATATAATTTGGCAGTGAAATACCACCTTACTTTGAATTGGAATTCAGGACAGGATATCTTCTCTTATTGCTTTATGGAGCACAGTTCTGTCTTGAAATCCATCTAACTAAGTTACTTCGCATACCATTCTTAAATTTTTTTTCAATATATGTTTATTTTAACATTGTTTTCATCCAAGTAACATACATGGGAAAAATCATATTACTGTGTTACAATGAAATAAGATTTTTTTTTTTTTTTTACATACATACGTAACAAATCCATCGCTATGGTTTTCTTAATTAAAACACAAAATAT